TGATTTTTAAAAATTCTGGCATAACTTCTATCATAGATGTTTTCACAACAAAAATGTTACAGATTGAGCGCGGCAGTTGCTGCTGCGTGTCTCGCGTGTTTTGTTTTTAATGCAGCCTCGATTATTCTACTTACCCCTATAGTCAACTGACCCCGGTCTCCCCTACAAGTGCACAGCGCAAGAAACGCTACAGTCGTGCTTAGCGTGCGATCGTAATGCGCGTAACAAATGTTTTCTCGCCGTGTAAACGGCGATGTAACGCCCGCCCAACACGAATATTAATATGATTACATCACAGGATGAGCAACAGCGTTTCATTGTTTATTGCACGTAAGAATTCGGTGTTACGCGTCGAGATTCGTCGCGTTGTCACGGAGGGGGGGGGGAGAAGAGGAGGGGGAAGAGAAGGTATGCGTACAATCGGAATATAAATGACGATTATTGCGCGATCTCGCAATAAATATGTAAGTACCCGTGCGTATTTCGTGACGCACGTCGGCGAGCCAACCGCCGTCGAATCGCTCGAACCTATACCTCGCTCGCCGAGTGACGTTTCGGATTCGGCGTCTCGACATTTGATACGTCAACCTTCGTGTCAATAGCACGGGCCCACTTATAGGCCCAAGAGTAAGTTAAATTATACGCCGGGCGCAACAGCAAACCGGGGGCACCCGGCACCATAATCGCAAGAATGTGCGCGCGCCTCTCTCTCCATTTTATATTAGGTTAAGTAAAAAGTCATCGCGTATTTTTTAGCTCAAAGTTGTATATACAATATCTTCGTCAATAATGAATGAAATTCAAATTTAAAAAAAGGGTTTTAAAGCTTGAAATCTCTACTTTTAAAAGCTTATCACATTTTTTACGTTTATATGAGTTTGATAATTTTTACATATCAAAAACTACGAGCTGAAAAAGACGAAAAATTTTCTTCTCACTTTGTGGATTTGTAACGTGTCCAAAACGAATTTGAGAAAATTTTCGATTACCTATCGTGAAAGCTTGATACTTTCCCTACAAAATCGTTTTTTTTTTTATATTCCTACGACTTTTGATTACTGAGTTATCGCGGATTAAATAAAAGAATTATTTTGACTTTAATTGCTCATAACTCCATTAAAAATTGTCGTATCGTATAATTTAAAAAAGAGATTTTTAAAGCTGAAACTTTATTCTATCAAGATATATTTATATTGTTGATAAGAAAATAATTGCGGTTTTTACTGATAGATGTCTTTTAAAAAAACGCGATGACTTTTTACTTAACCTAATATAAGACTCGAACATACCATGACTCGGTAAACATCGATGTGTGACTTGAATTTTAAATAGGAGAAAAAAAAATTACGACGTCGTGAACGTAAAGTCGTAATAAGTACCTAGGACGTGATTATAGCATGTTTCTTGACAATAAATTCGAAGGCAAAGGCCAGAGAGAGAGAGAGAGAGAGAGAGAGAGAAGTACGCGTCGCTCTTTATTCATGTATGTTAATAAATGCTGGCGTGGTACTGATTGTTTACTAAACACTATGTATACGCCGAACGCTACACGCGTGACATACGACACATTTTAATACGGGCTGTAACGAGTTATGTATTTTTTTTTTTTTTTTTTTTTTTTTAATAAAAAAAAAAA